ACAACGGAGACACTCACCTGTGCTGTGACGTCCTGCCATTGGGAGAGCACTCACTCACACGGGGAGCCTGGAAGGAGGGAGATTTTAAGTGGGAACGGTACAAACCTCCCCTGCTAATAAAGGTGATACAGATGATCTCTGGGGACTCAGGTCAGTCCCACAGCCGGGTTTGCATGGAGAAAGCCAAACGGCATCAAAATTACCCATCTCCATTGACTTTGTCTTTGGAAAGAGATATTGGCTGACTCTCATTCATGGAAATCATAACCCACTCAATGAAAGCAGGTTCTGCATCCTTGGAATCTCTTCCAGCAGTGGCAGCAGAGCTGCAGGCAACTCACCGAAGCAGCGCTGCGCTGTGTCCCCAGGTCTGACTGCTGCACTTGTGCTGTTCCTGCTCTCCTCCTGCACAGCAGTGCCGGGGCTGGAACCGCTGTGCAGCTCAGCAGCGCTTTTAGAGGCAGCGTCAGGAGGAGGGCAGTGCTGCCATCGTACCTCAGCGCTGCTCCACAATTGGCCACACCTGAGCTGTCCCACCGTGGGGACACCGCCCACTGTGCCAAAGCCACATCCAGCCTGGACTTGGGCACTGCCAGGGATGGGGCATCAGCAGATCTTCTGGGAATTTTGATTTGCAGCCTCATTACCCCTGCCCTATTTACTTTGGAGCCTTTGTCCTATTGGTACACTCTCAGTTAAAGGAAGCATTGCTGTGCTGTGCAGTGCTGCAGCCCTGGCACAAGGATCCAGAGGCTGTGGGTTGTCCTCCTTGGGACACAAGGGTCTGTAAGGCCATGAGGAGCTGCAGGGCCATGAGCCCTCCCTTCAGCCTCCTCTGCTCTAGGCACAACAACCCCAGGGCCCTCAGCTTTCCTCACACTCATTGCCCTGCAGACCCTTCTCCATCTCCACAGCCCTCCTTCAGATGCTCTCTAACAGCTCCATGTCCTTCTCACACAGCGGTACCCAACCTACACCCCATGCTCGAGGTCAGGCTGCAGCACAAAGCAGAGGGAACGGTTCCTTCCCTCACCAGCACTGCTGGGCCTGCTGCACCCCAGGGGATGGGGCCCTTTTGGCTGCAGGGCATACTCATGGCTCATATCCACTGGGCTGTCCCAGAGCCCCCAGAGCCCTTCTGTGGGGCTGCCATCCAGCCTCCCTCCCCCAGTCTGTATGTATACCCAGGGCATCCCCATCCCAAGTGCAGAATGCAGCTCTTGCTCTTCTTCCCCTCCATGAGGTCGGGCATTGCCTGGCCTTTAAGGTTCAGGGTCTCTCTGCAAGGCCTCTCCAGGGTCTCACACATGACAGAATCATCAGCTCGTCGCAGTGTAGTTTCATTTCCCATAAGTGTGCTCCATTCCAAGCAGTGCAGATAACGCATCTAAGAGCAAAGGCTGCTCTTAGTGCAGCTCCCCTTCCCACATCCCCACCATCCTCCAGAGCAGCCTGCATGCCCACAGCCACGTGCACCAGCCCTCCACATCCCATTCCCTGGAGGCACGGCCAGCACTGGGCCTCGTCCTGACTGCATCGTGTGTGCGACCACCTCCTGCCAGCACTGCTCAGCACAGCACAGAACCCTCGCTTCTCCAGTGGCTGTGTTGCTGAAAGCGATGTACCAATTTCCACACTTTGCTGCCAGCTCCTTGAGGATTGGGCTCCATTCTGTGAAACCCTTCAGATCTTCTGGATGCTCCAGCTATTCTGGTCAGGTGAATAACAGGACTGTGTTCTTGTCTGCTTTAGTAAATCGAAAATCTTGGTCAGCCACTCAGCCATTTCCCATTCTTCCCTAGTGATTTGGCCCAGGTGCATCACCAGGAAGATGGCATGGACACCTTTGCAGAGGAACTGAAGGGTATACTTAATCTTTTCAGCTTATTTCAGGTTGGCTCCTCTTGTGTCAACAAGGCCTGGAGTGTCCTCGGCTGTGAGCAGTGGGAAGCAGCCCCAGCACCCCGAGCCACAGCCTGCACTTTTGATACTGCACTGCCTGGAGCTGAGAGCATTTACGGGAAATGCCTCTTTGTGGGACCTTTGGACCACGGCTCACAGTCTGTACTGGGATGGCATCACGGTGGTAGCACTGCTGCCAGGGCACGGCCTGCCCAGGGTGGGAGCATGGAGCATCTCTGCGCTCCTCCTGGGTAGCTTGAGAATGGTGGGATCACGGAATGTCCTTAGTTGGAAGGGACCTCTGGCTCTATGTTGGACAAGTCTAACCCAAACTCTATGTCTGAGAGCAGTGTCTCCGCACTCTTTGAGCTCTGGAAGCTTGGTGGGGCTCATGTCCATGGGAGGACAAGAGGAGTGAGCAGGATCCCATCAGGTGAGGCGTTTTTGAGAATCACAGAGGAGGTCACCCCTCCAGGAGCTGGGACATAGTGCCTCAACACTGATTTATTGGAAATGAAGAGGATGAGGCAGAGATGTACATGCTGTTGCATGGCTATGGCCTTTGGGAGATCAGGGAGACATGGTGGGGTGTCTTCCATGGTGCTGTTTGGGGCACAGCTCCTCAGGAAAAACATGGAGGAGAGTTTACATGAATGAGCGGCTGCAGTGCATGGAGCTCTGCCTCGGGATTGCTGAGGACCCAACCAAAAGTTAATCAGTTGGGAATAATGAGAGAATTGGGAAAAGGAACATTATAATGGGCACCCGCTACAGGCAGACACGTTGGAAGAACGAGCATATGCTGCCCTCTACCAACGGACAAGAGCAGCATCACATTCCCAAATGTGCTCATGAGGGAGCTCACCCACCCCTGCATTTCTTGTAGAGACACCACAGCATGCCGTAAGCAATCCAAGAGGTTCCTGGAGTTGATGAGTACTTCTTCCTCCAAGTGACAGAGCCAATAAGGATTGGTGCTCTGATGGATGCTCACCAGCAAGCAGGGACTTGTGGGGAGCAGGAAAGTCAAAGGCAGCCTTGGCTGCAGTGACCATGGGCTGGTGGAGAGCAGGGAGGAGGGTGAAAAGCAAGTCTTGGACTCCAGGAAAGCAGAACTTTGCCTCTTTGAGGAGCTGCTTGGAAGAGTCCTCAGGGTTAAAGCTCTGGTGGGAAGGGGGATGCAAGAAAGCTGGTTAATGTTCAAGGCTAACATGCTCCAAGCTGCAGCACAATGCAGCCCAGTGAAGAAAAGGTCAGGCAAAAATGCCAGGAGGCTTGAATGGATGAGCAAGGAACCCCTGGCCAAACACAGAAGGATGCCTACAAAGCATGGCAACAAGGACAGGTAACCAGGGAGGAACATGGAGACACAGGGAGGGAGAAAGGAAAGCTAAAGCCCTAATGGAATTTAATCTGGATGGGAATGTAAAGAATGAAAGGAAGGGCTACTATTAGTGCAGTGATGACAACGGATGACAAGGGAAGATGTTACTCCTGAGTGAGACACGGGTCCTGGTCTTACAGGCAAAGGAAAAAGGCCGGGGCTTTTGACTTGGTCTTGAGTAGCAAGACTGGTCTACAGAAATTCGAGGTCCCAGGAACAAGGGAGGAAGGCTAGAGCAAGGAAAATGTACCTTTGGAGGAGGAGGGTCAGGTCACAGAATACTTGAGCAAACCAGATATACATAAATCCATGGGTCCTGAGAAGATGCAGCCTGAGTGTCGAGGGAGCTGGCCGATGCCATTGCAGGGCCACTCTCCATAATCTTTGCTCGGTTGTGGCAACTGGGAGAAGTTTCTAAAGACCGGAGGAACACACATGACATAGCTATCTTCATACAGGGCAAGAAGCAGGACATGGGAAAATACTGGCCAGCAGGACCCAGGGAGATACAGAAAACCAGCTTTGCATCCGTTAGGGGAAAGGCAACGGCACATCTCATCCTGGAAATCCTTTCAGGCACATGATGGAGAAGATCATCAGATAGACAGATAGACATGGATTCACCAAGGGGAAGTCATGCCTGACCAACCTGATAAGCTTCTGGAATGAAATCACCAGCCAGATGGATGAGGTGCAAGCAATGGACATTGTATTCCTGGACTTCAATAAGACTTCTGTCTCCTGTAAAATTCTCCTAGAGAAGCTGTTTCAGTATGGGTAGGATGCGCAGACAATGAACAACTGGACTCAGAGGGTGGGGATCAGAGGAACCAAGTCTGGTTGGAAGCCAGGAGCTGGCTATGAACCCAGGGATCACCACTGGCTGCAGTCCCATTCAATATTTTCATGTGTTGGGTTTATACAGCCAAGTTCAGGTAGACTAGATGACCATCAATAAATTTTCCCAAGAAAAACACACATTTGAAATATAAATAAGTTCAGAGGAAAGAGAATTGGATAGTGTGTGATAACAAGGTTCTGATTCAGGTGGCAGAAGTAGAAACTGAGCATCAGTTTCCTCACTGAGCATTTCTGCTACAGCAGGGCACTGTGGGCTCACATCCACTGGGATGACCCAAAGTCCCCAGAGCCCTTCTGTGGGTCTGCCATCCAGCCTCTGTTTCTTTACATATACCCAGGAGCCCCACCCCAGGTGCTCTTGCTCCTGTTCACCTCCATTAAGTTGGGCATTGCCTGGCACCTGGCTCAGGGTCTCTCTGCAAGGCCTCTCCACCCCTGACAGAGTCAGCAGCTCATGGCAGGGCAGTGTTATCCACAGCCTTCCTTACTGCACCTTAGTGACAATTTCCAGTGATGAAGAGAACACTGAAGAGAATCAGCCCTGACATGGAGCCCCGTGGAACCCCCATGACTGTCACCAGCACAGTGCACACCTGTCCCAGATCCTGGAGTCCAGGTCTTCACCCACAGCACTGCGTACGTGTGTAGCTGTGTGCTGAATGTTTCATCCTGACAATTCTTCCAGGAATATGCTGCCCGTTCTGCTGCTGCCTCCGAGCTGCAGATTGCCCACATCACCTGCACACATGCCAGGTGAGGCCAAAGGTTCCACAAACATTTCCCGTAAGTGTGCTCCATTCCAAGCAGTGCAGATAACGCATCTAAGAGCAAAGGCTGCTGGAGAACCTCAGCTCTCGCACCAAGGGCAGCTCCCCTTCCCACATCCCCACCATCCTCCAGAACAGCCTGCATGCCCACAGCCACATGCACCAGCCCTTCACATCCCATCCCCCGGAGGCACAGCTGGCACAGGGACCACATACACAGGCAAGTTTAGGTAGTTTAGGGAGCCATCTATAGATTTGCCAAGAAATACACATATTTTAAAAATAAATGTGCTTAGAGGAAAGTCAATTGGATAGTGTGTGTGATAGAAAGGGTCTGATTCAGTTGGCAGAAGTGGAAATTGAGCATCAGTTTCCTCACTGAGCACTGCTGCTATGGCAGCTTCAAAAGCTGCTCACCAAAGTATTATCGTGTTGTGGCCAATGTAATCCTCACATTGTTCTTTATTAATACCTTCCTGTTTCTCAAAAAACGTCTTGAAGTAAGGTCCAAAGAGAAAAGCATGTTTCTGGGGGAAGGGCAATAGGGGAATGGACCACAGCTGCTGCAAAGGCATCCAAACCCATCATGGTACCACAGCAAACAGCCTTGTTCTTCGAATCATAGAATGGCCTGGGTTGCAAAGGAGCACAATGCTCATCCAGTTCCAACCCCCTGCTGTGTGCAGGTCACCAACCAGCAGCCCAGGCTGCCCAGAGCCACATCCAGCCTGGCCTTGAATGCCTGCAGGGATGGGGCATCCACAGCCTCCTTGGGCAACCTGTTCCAGTGCCTCACCACCCTCTGGCTGAAAAACTTCCTCCACATATCCAACCTAAACCTCCCCTGTCTCAGAATGCAAAAACAACATTCCTTTCCTACATAGGCACCCTTGGGGCTGTCATTAGGGCATCACAGCAGCCACAGAAGGTGTCCCACAGGCCTTGGGGGTAGTCTTTTATTTTATCCTTTTTTTTTTTTTTTTTTTTAACTGACTATTTTTTGTGATTTGAGGCTTTCTTAAGCTGTTCTGTGAGCTCTGAGGAAAGTTTGAGATCTGTATGGGGGTACTTAGCTAATTTCCTAATTAAGCACTTATCTGCCCACTCTCTGCGCTAGATATTGAGGAAATTGATCTGGCATATATTATATTTATATTTATATTCCATATTTATATATTTAGGCAGTGAATATTGGCACTTCAGTACTTCTGCTTTATGCAGAAGAGGAAGAAGCTTTCTGGAAGCTGTGTGTAAACGCATGCTACCTCACCGTGACAACACAAGAGTAGCTGGTGTGTTATGAAGAAGAGAATCATAGTATAACCTGGGTTGGAAGGGAGCCATAAGGATCAACAATTTGGTATGACTTATACTGAAACAAATATGTGTGGATCCATGTGTGGCACAGGAATGGTTGTGAATGCGACAGCTTGCTCAGGGAGGATGCAAAGCACTGCAGCCCTATAAAAGGACACTCAGCCCCAGCTCAGCTGAGGGAGGCAGAAACCATCCGGAAACAAGGAGGGCTCGAGGTGCGAAGCTGCGTCTGCTGGGCCTAGCAGGCAGGCCAGGCCGCAGCCTTGAGTAGGCCCAGGGCGTTGCCATAGGAACCGCCCCGCGTTGCCAAGAGGTGGAGCGTCGTCAAGGCAACCGTCACTTCCGCCAATCCGCGAGCGAGGCGTCGTCATCGCAACAACGCTCCCCGCCCCCCCGGGGAAGCGGGGCGTCGCCATGGAAACTACGCCAGGCACGCGCAGGGGGGCGGGGCGTCTCATCGGACCGGAAGAGGAAACTGGCCCCGCCCCGGCACGGCCGGGCTGGAGGACTCTGCTTCCCGTGAGTCCCTGCGCTCGCTTCCGGCGGGGCGGTGGCGGCTGGGCCGGGATGGAGGCCGTGCCCCGCATGCCCATGATCTGGCTGGATCTCAAGGAGGCCGGGGAGTTCGCTTTCAACGCCGCTGTTAAGAAGGTGGGGGTCAGGGCCTGCGTGAGGCGAGGCCCCTTCCGGGAGCGATCCCGGGGCACCGTGTGGGGCCTGCGGGGCCTGTGGGGGGAGGCTGACGGCCACTGGGGGATCTGTGGGGTGTCTGTGGAGCTGGGAGGAGGCTAGGGGCCTGTGAGGGAGAGGAGCGCTGGGGCTCTGTGAAGGCTGTGGGGAGGCCGTGTGGGCTCAGGGCCTGGCAGAGGTCCTGGGCTGTCCCTAGGGCTGCGGTAGGTGTGGGGCTGGGAGGGGTTTGTGGGGCTCTGTGGGTCGGGTCACCTTATCCTGGCTGTACTCAGCATGGTGTGGGGTGTTGGGCTGGAAGTGAGGCTGCTGGCATGTCCCAGCCCTGTCACCCGAGGGCTTTGTGCCCACTTTGGGACTCTCCAGGGCTTTCATCACTGGGGCAGTGGGTAATCGTTGCAGGTGCTTGGGGGCAGAGTTTGGAGTGTGAGGAAGCTTTAGTGCTTCTTCAAGCCCTGCATTACCCAGTAGGAGCCAGAGCTATGGGGTGAGTTGGCAGCTCTGTCCCTGCAGCACGTGACCAGCTCCCAGCACCATGTTCTTCCTCAGACCCGACCTTCTCCAGCATTGCACTGGTGGTTCATAACCGTGGTGAGCACTGGTGTCATCAAGAAGCGTGTGTCAGAAGCCCAGTGCTGCGTGCAGATGAATTTCTCCTCATCTCTCTCTGTTGTTGGGGATTTTGGGGAGAGGAGGACGCTCAGGAAGAGTGTGCTGGTGCTATCATTTCTGACAGCCCTACTGCTGGCAAAGCTCTGTTACCCCGATGTGCAGCAGTAAGGATTGAGGGAAGCTACGAGTATGGCAGAGTTATAGTGACCTTCAAAAGGAGCTGCCCAGCACCCATCAGGAGTTGAAACGAGAAGTGGGTTTGTGCTCATGTGTGCTTCTGTTGCTAGTGAGAGGCTTCTTCATCCTACAGCTGAGGGGCTGCAAGGCACAGCGTGGGACAGCCAGAACTGGAGTTCTGTCCTGGGATAGAAACATGCAGGGATAATAGCCAATAGGTGGACTGAGAGCCAACAATGGGCTGAGGGCTGCTGCCCTGTGTCGAGGTCAACCCAAACCATTCCTGTTCATCCCCTGCCCATGGGATGTGTATTTTCCTCTGAGGGAGCAATGTGGCATTTGCCCTGATGGAAAAGAATGATATTTGCCAACCTTGGAGCTGAGATGTGAAAGATTAGCAGGCATCTGTTGTGCCCGCAAAGGACATCATGTTCAATGTGTTCCCTGTCCAAAGCAAAACATGGAGGGAGGAAAAGTTCCTGCAGACCCCAGCTTGGTGCCCTGGCTGTCACTCTGACTTTAGGGAAGCTGAGCCTCTCTCCCTTTGAACTTGTTTGAGCTGTGCTTTGGGCACTCCTTCCCCACCTTCTTCTGAACGTGTTTTTAGGCCTTTGTGATGTTTGCTTCTCTAAAAGCTCTTGCCTGTTCTTTAAAATTTCTGACTGAAAAGAGTGATGTTATGGTGAGCGTGCACCCTCACCTGCAGCATGAGTGGGCTGTCCTGGCAGAGCTGTCACCTCTGTCCTTCAGTTTGTTTTTATGAAGTGGAGGGAGATTCAGGACTTAATTATCAGCTATGAACAAGAAGCCCCACCTCCAGCTGGCACTTTGCAGTGCCACCTATGGAGGGAAACCACGATTTACAACCTTGTTGATTTACAAATTCATTTATTTACGTGCATGGACAGAGGTGTTTCTGTGCCACCACCTGCTTGCCTGTTGAATTTTGGGATGTGGATACAGAGGAGTGGGGTGGGAGGGGACACAGGGTGACACTGGGAGTGGCCTCATCACCATGCAGCTGAGTCATGCCCCACAGCCCTGGGCATTGTGCAGCTCTGGCCCGGCTGAGAGTTTTGTGTATGGATTTATTTTTATATTTTATTTATTGCATGGTGGGAGATTTAGATCTACTTCAGTGGCAAGCAGGCTAGCAGTGCTTCAGACATACCCAAACTGCCTTAACCTGGCAGATAAGTGCTCAGAGGATTGCAGTATACAAAGCCACAAGAGCTCTCTTCAGTCTGGAAGTGCCAAGCTTGCCAAAAGTGTAACCCAAAAGAATCATAACTGGTTTGGGTTGGAAGGAACCCTCCAGCCTAGCCAGACCCAACCCCTCCCATGGGTAGGGGCACCTCCAATCCAATCTGGCCCTGGGCACTGCAGAGCTGGGGCACCCACAGCTGCTCTGGGCTGCCTGTGCTGTTGTGTTACTAAATCCACCCTGCTGTAGTTTAAGGCCATTACTGTTGTCTTACCTCTGTGCTCCTGACAAAGAGTCCCTCCCCAGCTTTCCTGTATCCCCTTTGGACTGACACTGAGCCACCTCACCCTTGGGTGCTCAGCATAGGCTTTTCCTTAATGCAAATGAGTTAGGCACAGATGAGTATAAAATGTGAATCCTCCCCAATAGTGCCTTCCCCACTCCTGGCAGAACCCTGGGCAGGAGTACATCCTTCTCACCATCCCCAGGCTGCCCTCTGAGCAAATTCCATGGGAAAGTGCCTGTCAGAAACAACACAGAGAATTCTTGCAGGCCCTGCCTGATCCGGGGCGGGCAGTGGTTGTGGGTATTGCTCTCAGATGGGGTCAGGTTCTACCTGTTCTTTCTCCCTTCCAGTTTGTCCTGAAGAACTATGGGGAGAACCCAGAGAACTACAATGAGGAGCTGCGGAAGCTGGAGGTGCTCCGGCAGGTAAGTCAGCACTGCTGGCCTCAGCATCACCGAATGGCATTGCTTTAGCAGCCAGGCTGTGTCCTGCACTTCTGAGATGATTTGGGCTCCCTGAGAGCTTGAGGAGATTGGATGTTAGGGCTCTGTAGTTTGATAGCCACAGCCCCACTGAGAGCCTCCAAAAAAAAGGATGGTGAGAGGCACACAGGACTGAGGCAGAGCTGTTGGCCTGGCAGCCAGAGGGCTTTGTGCGTGTACAAGTGCTGGCAGGGCAGCCTGTCTTTTCCTTCAGGAGTAAAGGAACAGCTCTAACAGCCCTGCAGGCTGCAGACACCCCCCACTGCATCCGATCAGGGGCATGAGACGTTTCCAGTTGCTCTCAAATTCCTCCTTTTTATTGTTTCACTCTGTGACAGGGAGAACACAGGTTCTTCCTTCTTGATCTCATTGCTCTGGATCCATAAATTGGTTCCATAATGCATAATTTGGGGGCAGACAGACATCTTTTTCTCAGTGTGCTTATCATGGGGGTGCCAACAAATGTGTGAGCCCAGCTGTCCCCTGCCAGAAGGCACCTGCTCCCATCTGCACACCTTGCTGCAAGCCAAGATGGGCACTGCGCCCTTTGCCATCACAGCCAGTGTGCTGCCCAGCCCTGGGCAGATTATTCCTCTTTCTCTGTCTCTCCCAGAGTGCCGTCAACGTGCCCAGGGACTTCGAGGGCTGCAGCACACTGAGGAAATACTTTGGCCAGCTCCACTACCTGCAAAGCCGGATCCCCATGGGCGCCGAGCAGGAGGCTGCAGTCCCCATTGCATGGTGAGGTGCTGCTGTGCTGGGGTAGGGGAGAAGGAGCTTCCTCTTCATGCCTTTGTAGGGCACAGTTTTCCTGTACGTTCAAGGCTGGGGCATTAAGGATGGGAGAATTGGGAGCTGCAAGTGACTGCTGCACTTTGTGAAATAAAGAGGTTGCCCCAAACCAGAATAGCTGCCCCTTCATCACTTTGCATGTCCTTTACAGATATCTGATACGTTCCACCCTGCACTGCACCTCTCCCCTTAATCTATGTGGAAGACTCTTCTGGCACAGTGCCCTACGTGCCTCCAGTTTGGTGTACTAGAGAGGCCCCTGGGGTTGGAGGCTGGTGGGGAGAATCTGTCTCCCAGAACCTGTGGAAGGGCAGTGCAATCATTGGTCTCTTTGTGATGGCACTTTTAGGCCAGCTTCCCTTGCTGCTGAAATACAGCTGTGTCAGGCACAGGGGCTCCTGGGAGCCCTGTGGGAAATGGCATCCTGCCCTGGGAAGCTGGCAGGAAGGCTGAGCTGAGATAGTGGCTGGCTCCATGGAGATGCAAGACAGAGCCTGTAGCTCCACGTATAGTTGGTGAACAGCCTTTTTTCTTTGCAGGACAGAGATCTTTTCAGGCAAGACGGTGACTCATGAGGACATCAAGTATGAGCAGGCTTGCATCCTGTACAATCTGGGTGAGTCCTGGGAGACCAGCTGCCCTGCTGGTCCACCCTTCATTTCACTGGGCATGAGGGATATCCCTCCTCTCTGCCCTGCCTTCAGTCTGTTTCCTCCTTGGAGCAGCCAGGCAGAAGCACAGGAAGCTGACTTTGAGTTTTTCCAGAAACTTCTTTCCCTTTCCTCTTTATCTGAGAGCACCCCAGCTGTGCACTGCCCTGCACCTGAGTCACAGCTGGGCTGCAGGTTCCATGGCTGCAGGAAGAAGGCTCTTTGTAGCACAGTGAGAACCCAGTCAGACTTTGTCTGTGTCATGCAGCATCCCTCATAATATGTTTAAAAACACAAATGCAACACTTGTTGCCCTCTTGCTCTCCTGCCTTGGATTTTTTTGTGGACCAAAGGAAAGGTCACACTCATTCCAGAGACGCTGTCAGTGCAGCTGAAGTTACTCACATCCCTGTGACTGGGGCTGCTCCTTGCATTGCAGACTGCTTTCTGTTCAGTAACGCACAGAGCAAAGGGCTTTAGTGAAACCTACTCAGATCTGTGCTTCACTGGCAAGGGACACCCAGCTTCTGGCTTTGGCACTGCATGTGGGGCTGCGTGGGAGCTGACCAGCTGCAAATCACTTCACTGAGCTGTGCTCCTCTTTCTTCAGGTGCACTGCACTCCATGCTGGGCGCCATGGACAAGAGAGTGTCTGAGGAGGTAACAGTCCCTGCTTTTCAGTGTGGGTTGTTAAAAGCATCAATGTCAGACACCAGCTCTGGATGTCTTCTGTTTTCTCAGCACATAGGATTGGGAGGGGAGAGATCTCACACAGGATTTGGCCACAATTTTGTGCATGCATAGCCTGCATTAAAAACACCATTAAATGCACTGAGAGCTTCCTAGATTGAAGCTGGCCCTAAGAGCTTGTGGCAGGCTGTGGCAGCTGCTTTTGGGAGTCTCAAGGGAGGCACGATCAGCACAGGAAACATCTAAACCCTGCTGAGCTGGATTTTATCACCCTAACCATTGGTGTGAAGGGAGGATGCTGCCTCTCCAGTCTTCCACAACCTCCTCGCATCCACTGGCTTGGCTTTTGTGCGTGCATGACACATGTTCTCCTGTCTGCTCAGGGCATGAAGGTTTCGTGCACCCATTTCCAGTGTGCTGCTGGTGCCTTTACCTACCTGCGGGACCACTTCCCCCACTCCTACAGTGTAGACATGAGCCACCAGATCCTCAACCTCAACATCAACCTCATGCTGGTAGGAAGTGGGCTCTTGGGCAGTGGGGAAGTGGGAATGGCTCCTTGCATGCCCTGGGGCAGCTGCTGTGTAACTGGAAGTGGGGTTGGGAGGAAGCAGTGCGTGGTGTCAGCCCAGAGGTTTCCCTGAGCTCTGCTCCTAAGAGCAGGGATATGAAAGATAGAATCATTAAGGTTGAAAAAGACTCTAAGATAACCAAGCCCAACCATCAAACCATCCTCAACATGTCCCTAAGTGCCACATCTCCAAGGACAGGGACTCCACCTCTTCCAGTGCCTGACTACTCTTTCAGAGAAATTGTAAAGAAGAGCTCTGTGCCACACTGCTGGGCCCATGGGCTGTTGGGGACATCTTTTTGGACTGTGTCAGCAGTGCTGTGCTGGCTTGTCAAGAAAGGGACTGCTACCAGTGAGTCCAGGAGGGTTTCTTGTTCAGGAAAACTCAGGCTTCCTTCTTACTTTGGCAGGGTCAGGCACAGGAGTGTCTGCTAGAGAAGTCCATGCTGGACAACAGGAAGAGTTTCCTCGTGGCCCGGATCAGCGCTCAGGTGAGGCACTAGAGGATCTCTGTGCTGAATGCTTGCTGTTTCCATAAGCACCTGCTGTAAGCAAACAGCCTCGCTCTCTCTGTGCATGGCAGTGGTGCTTGGCATGAAGAACTTGGAGGGGTTTGTCCAGACCCTGTACAGCATCAGTGCAGCCACACAGGGCTGCTATCACAGCAAGCTAGGAGTGCAGTCAGCTCCTCAAAGCAGAAGGACAGCAAATTTCCATGAAGAAAACTGTATTTTTAACCCACCCTCTGGGAAAAGCTTAGCACAGGGATGTCTCTGGCTCTGACCCAAAATGCATCAATAAGATGCCCCCCAACTTCTTGCTGTGCTGGCCGAGTGATCTCATTGAATCCTTTCCATTGTTGCTTTCCTTTCAAACTGGGATCTGTCTGTGGAGTTTTCAAATGCCCATTCTGCTCCCCACAGGTGGTGGATTACTACAAAGAGGCCTGCCGGGCCTTGGAGAACTCGGAGACAGCCTCACTGCTGGGAAAGATCCAGAAGGACTGGAAGAAGCTGGTTCAAATGAAGATCTACTATTTTGCTGCTGTGGCCCATGTAAGTGGGAAGAGTGGCACCGGTCTGCAATGTGAGACCAGCCCTTGATTTGCTTGCCAGAAAGTTTTCTGTCATTGGAAGGATCCCTAACACTGTTGCTGTGTTTTGTTCCAGCTGCACATGGGAAAACAGGCTGAAGAGCAGCAGAAGTTTGGGGAAAGGGTAAGTGTGGCTGTGTCGACCCGTGCTGCCTGGATTGAGGTCCTGCCCTCATTTGAGTCCTGGATTGAGTCCTGGGAGGGACTGTCATGCTAATGATGGGGTATCTGCATTAAGAGTTTATTAAGAGTGCTGGTGCTCTGTGGGCCTGTTTTGGTGCCACACAGGTGTTCTTAGCAAACCCTATTACACTGAACAAGGCTGCTTGTTGGGATTGGCTGGTGGTGCTCCCATGCAAGGAGTAGGCACGTAATTCTGGGCCAACTCTGGTGCTTTTAACGTATTTGGGGCTAATTCCTCTTCTCTCTGCAGGTAATCTACTTCCAGAGTGCACTGGATAAACTCAATGAAGCTATCAAGCTGGCAAAGGTACATTCCTTCTTTCTCTGGTAGCAGTAACCAGATTGTAAAACCCTCAGTCTGTCACTGCTTTGTGGAAGCACCCTTGGGCATGATTCTTTCACATCCCTGCTCTGGGAGCAGTGCTCAGGGAAACCTCTGGGGCTGACACCAGGCACTGCTGTCCACTCCTGAGGAAAGGGACAGAGTGACACAAGGGACTTTTGCTTTGCTGGTGTGAGTCTGGAGTGCAGTGTCTTGAAATGGGGACTGAGTCACACAGGGTACTGGTGTAGGGCGAGGGAGGTGAGGGCTGGGCCCTGGTAGGCAGTGCAGTATTAAAGATGAGAGTTGGTGGTGCCAATGTAAAAGCTTTTTTTGCCCATTGACTGGAGTGGCAGACATTATGGTTTCCCAGAGCATCAGCATTCCCCTCTAGGACATCCATCAGCCCTCTCCAAGGCTCTGTTACCTTCCAGCAGCCCCACAGGGAGGGCGCAGTGATGAGGAGATGGCTGGTGGTGCTGCTGCTGCTCCCAGGGCACGCTCTGACTGTACCTGCAGCTCACACAGCTGCAATCAGCCACTGGGGCAGCAGTACCCTACCCTTGCCTGTGCTAACTTGCTTTTATTGTCACTTGTGCAGGGACAGCCAGAAACTGTCCAGGAAGCCCTGAGATTCACCATGGATGTGATCGGTGGCAAGTGAGTGTGCTCAGGCTGCCCCAGCCATAACTGTCCTGCTTTTCTATAGGCCACAAACACCTCATAGCCTGAGCAGCTAGTGAGGAGCCTCAGTATGGCAGTGACCTGTGTCCCCCCGTGCTGCCTGAGGCTCTTGGCTCTTCCCAGAACTATTCCAGGAGGGGCAGAACCTGACTCCATGGGAAGCATGCTCAGGAAGCCAGGGGTGATGTGTGCTTCTCATCACTTCTTGTTTCTAGGTACAACTCAGCTAAAAAAGACAACGACTTCATCTACCATGAAGCTGTGCCTGCCTTGGACACTCTGCAGTCTGTGAAAGGTAAGGATGGGCAGTGCCCCCTCCTGTGAGCTGCTAAGGGGGGGAGGGGGGACACGCACAGGGATGCATGGTGGATCTGTGGAGATGCAGGAAACCTCTGGAGCAGTGGGGCTTTGCGCTGAGATGCCCTCCTCTGTGTGGAATCTGCTAGGAATGAGGCTTTGACTTTGGAACAGAGGAGTTTTCCTGGTGGAGGCTGGAGACCCACATGTGCTTTGTGTTTGAACTGCAGGTGCTCCACTGGTGAAAGCCCTCCCTGTCAACCCCACAGACCCTGCTGTCACTGGCCCTGATATCTTTGCCAAGCTGGTGCCCATGGCTGCCCACGAGGCTTCTTCACTGTACAGGTGTGTCCCAGGACAACCACGGAGCTGCGTGCAGATCTCCAGGACTGAGCTCACAAACAGCCTGTGTCCCTAGGGAGTCCTCATGTCCTTTTGCTTTAGGGGGGGCTGGGCTGCAGCTCATCTCCAGAGGTCCCTTCCAACCCCTATGATTCTGTTACTGTTTCCTGAGTCTCACAGCAGCACTCAGGGATTTTTCTCTTTGTTGTAGTGAGGAGAAGGCCAAACTGCTGAGAGACGTAATGGCAAAGATTGAAGCCAAGAACGAAGTGCTGGAGTACGTGTGAGCTGTACCTGAATGGGGCCCTGGCCTCTCCCCCTGCTCCAGACCCGGGTGTAGGGCAGTGAGCTGGGCATGGGGTGTCTGCTGATGGGAACAGACACCTCTGAGCTCTTGGCCCTTTGCTCTCGGGCTGAGCACAGTCTGTCCCAGTTTGCCCAGCTCTGGGCAGTGACCAATTCCCAGATTCACCCTGCAGCTTTGCTTTGCTCTGGGGGACAACTCCTCAGGGCCATGCCCTGAAGTGGCTGTGGTGTGGGATGGGGATGCTGGGGGTGGTCAGGTGCTATCACTTCTTTCCACCTGTAGCCAGTTCATGGACTCCATGCAGCTGGACCCTGAGACAGTAGACAACCTGGACATGTACAGCCACATCCCCCCCATCCTGATGGAGAAGTGTGCTGCGCTCAGTGTGCGTCCCGACACCGTCAAGAACCTCGTCCAGTCCATGCAGGGTGAGCTCACTGGGACCAGCAAGGGGCTGGGATTGTCTGTTTTCCCCCTGGCTGCAGCTGGGGAATCTCTTATCACCATTTTCTTGCCTGTATAAATTCCTTACCCCTAAAGCATCCTTCCCGTTGGCTGTTTGTGGTAGGTGACGGTGTCCTGCCTGCAGCAGAGGGGTTTGCCCCTCCTGGGCACAAACCAGCCTCTGTGTTGCTTTTCCAGTGCTCTCTGGGGTGTTCACTGACGTGGAGGCCTCGCTGAAGGAGATCCGAGACCTGCTTGAGGAGGATGAGGCACAGGAGCGAAAGCTGCAGGAGCTACTGGGGAAGGGCTCAGTGCCACAGGGCTCCCCGCCACCACCATCCTCCACAGGGCTGGCTGAGGTCAGCAAGGAGTGCTCCAAGTACATGGAGGTACACGAGAAGGCCAGCTTCACCAACACAGAGCTGCACAAAGCCATGAACCTGCACATTGGCAACCTCCGCCTGCTCAGCGGGCCGCTGGAACAGGTCCGGGCTGCGCTGCCCTCACCCACGCTGAGCGAAGGTGAGAACCATACTGCTGACCCACCCCACATCCCACCCCCTGCAGCTCCCTCCCTTTGCTTTGGGTTTGGGCTGGGGTCGCTTCATGGGCTCCACCGCAGCCGCTCAGCATTCTCTATCCCCCAGATGACAAACAGGTGCTGCAAAACCTGAAGAAAATCCTGGGCAAGGTGCAGGAGATGAGGGACCAGCGGATGTCCCTGGAGCAGCAGCTGCGTGAGATGATTCAGAAGGACGATATCACCACCTCACTGGTCACCACTGATCGCTCTGAGATGAAGGTGGGTGCCCCCAGCCCTTCCTTGTGCCATGTACCCCAGTATGGGCTGCAGTGAGAGCTCTGCTCCATCCCAACCTTGAGCCCCTTGGGAGGCAGTGTGCCTGCTGGCCCCTCAGATCCTTCCCTCTCCGGGCAGAAACTCTTTGAGGAGCAGCTGAAGAAGTATGACCAGATCAAGGTATACCTGGAGCAGAATCTGGCTGCACAGGAGAACATCCTGAAGGCCCTGACAGATGCCAATGTCAAATACGCAGCTGTGCGCAAGGCCCTGGCAGAGGTGGAGCACAAGTGAGTAGGGGCACAGGGACATTGTGGGTCTTGGTGTATGGAAACAGCCCTCACCCACGCCAAACAGGGGCTGCCTGTGGGGCTGGAGGCTCTGGTGGCTGTTGGTGCTGCACACTGAGGCTACCCAGTGTGGGGTACATGAGGGCAGCCCAGCTCTCTGTGTGCATGCACACACCTCTGTCCCACATCCCCAGGTGGAACACCACTGTTCAGACCTTGGTGGCCTCCTACGAAGCCTATGAGGACCTGATGAAGAAATCCCAGGAGGGGAAAGACTTCTACACCGACTTGGAGGGGAAAGCTGCGAAGCTGCTGGAGAAGGCGCGAGCAGCATGCCAGGCTGCTGAAGCCAACAGGCAGCAGATCTTGGAGAAGTAGGTGGTGCTGGGGCTGGAGGGAATGCAGTGGGACAGCCAGGGAAGGAGAGAAGCACGTTGGGCTGCAGTGTGGTGGCTCTGGCTTTGGTGCCACAGCCCTATGAGCTCTCCTCACCCCAAGAGGCAGTGCCATCACCCTGATGGGTGGAGATGGGGGATTCTCAGGATGAGCTGCCCGTGTTAATACCTACTCCCTCCTGGCAGGGAAATGAAGAAGCACCCACCCCCTCGTCCCACAGCCCCCAAACCCTCCTTGCAGAAGAAGCCATTGGAGCTGGAAGCCGAGGGGCCAGAGGTGGGCGACCTCCCCTCGCTGGGCTCCCTGGCCTTGGCCGACCTGCCCGAGGACCTGCGCAGCCTCCCCCCCGATGTCCTGGCCGCACATCTGGCCCGCCTGCCGCCCGCCACGCTGGCCGCACTCGCTCTCGACCCCGCTCTGCCTGCGGGGCTGCGGCCCCCCGGCCCCGACCTCTTCGCCCCCAGGCTGGCGAGCGCACCGCTGCAGCCCGGCCAGCCCTTCGCCCCGCCGCGCTTCCCCGCCCTCCCCGGGCATTACGGGCTGCCGCCGGCGCCCGCTGCCGGCCCAGCTCCCTTTCCCCACGTCTCCGGAGCTCCGGTTCTGCCGGCGCAGCTCCTGCAACCCTCCGCCCCCCAGGCGAGCGGGCCGCCCCCCAGCTCAGCCCCTTCCTCTGCCCCTCAGCTCTTCCCGGCCGCTTCCCTGCTGCGGGGTGCGGTGCAGCCCGGGGCGGCGTTGGCGCAGCCCGGTTACGCGGTGCCCCACCTGCTTCCCCCGCGCTCATCCCCGCAGCACGGCCCCGCCGCGGCTCCCGCTGCCTCCTACGGCCTGGGCCAACCGGGGCTGCCCCCGCCCGGCCCCGTCAGACCCCCGGCCGTGGGTCCGACCCCCGTGGCTGTCCCCGAGCAAAGCCCGGCCGCCCGCCCGGCCACCACCACCGTGGACAGCGTGCAGGCGCCCATCTCCAGCTGCGCGGTCCCTCCGCGGCTCCCCGGGCCGGCGGTGCCCCCCGGGGGGGGCTTCGTAGCCCCGCAGCGCCCGGGCGGCCCCGCCGCCTCCTTCCCCCCCTATGCCCAGACGGGGCTGCAGCCGCCATTCGGGCACTCGGCTCCGTTCCCTCCGGCGCAGCCCCCCGCCGCCTTCCCTCCCCCCGCGGACATCCCGGTTCGCCCCCAGGCCGTCGCTGCCCCGCAGCCGTTCCCTCCCTCAGCAGCCGCTCCCTTCCTCCCTCCGGCCCGCCCGCAGGTCTCGCTGCCCTTTCAGCCCCCGGCCCGGCCCCCGTTGCCCCACCAGACCCCTTTTGCCCAGCAGCCCTTCTCCGGCCCCGTAGGGCAGCTGCCTCCCGGGCAGCCCCCGCTGCGGCCCCAGCTCTACCCGCTGCCCCCCGGGCAGGACAAACTGCCTCCCCCCGGGCTCCCCCCGCACGGCGGGTCCCTCCCGTTCGGCTCGGCGGTGCCCGGACAGAGCGGCCCTATGGCGCAGCCCATACACGGCGCTCTGCAGCCCGTGCCCGGCGGCTCCCCGGCTCTGCCCTTCTGTCCCAGCCCCGCTCCGTGCCACCCCGCCGCCCCCATGAGACCCCCGCAGCCCTCCCCCGCCCCATCTCCTGGCCCCGTCCTCAGCCACGTTCAGGGCCCCGTGGTGGTGCAGTGCCCTCTCGTCCCCTCCCCGGCCCCGTCCCCGCAGCCTCCCGTGCAGCCTCCGCCGTTGGTGCCCGGCGCGGTGCCTCACAGACCCCCGCCGTCGCTGACCCCCGCGCCGGGCACAGCCGAGACCGCCTTCCAGCGCCAGAGCTCCTCCACCGACGACCTCCTGTCCTCCAGCCCCGAGAGCCAACACGGCGGCTCCAAGGCGGCCGTGGGGCAACCCCTATTGCAGCCCACCAAGGCGGACGCCAAGGAGGGTCAGAAGCCCAAAGCGGTGCAGCTGATCGAGAACGATCCCTACGAGAAACCCGAGCGCGTTTTGCGGCTGCGGGCTGAGCTGGAGCGCTTCCGAGCGCTGCTGCAGCGCCTGGAGCAGACGGAGCCCGGCGGTACCGCGGAGCTGGACGCGCTCTGGAAGGAGCTGCAGGACGCCCAGGAGCGCGACGCCCGGCAGCTCTCCATCGCCATCGCCCGCTGCTATTCCATGAAGAACCGACACCAGGACATCATGCCCTACGACAGGAACCGCGTGGTGCTCCGCTCGGGCAAAGACGACTACATCAACGCCAGCAGGGTGGAGGATCTGTCCCCGTACTGCCCAACCATCATCGCCACGCAGGCGCCGCTGCTCGGCACCGCCGCCGACTTTTGGCTCATGATCTACGAGCAGAAAGTGTCCGTGATTGTCATGCTCGTGTCGGAGCAGGAGCTGGAGAAGGTAGGGCTGCTCCATGGGGGAGTGGAGAGCTGTCCCTGCACTGCTCGATACACGGACGGAGGGGGACCTCAGGGCACTCCTGACCCTTTTCCCCATCTCCTCCCCACAGCAAAAGGTGCTGCGGTATTTCCCGACGGAGCGGGGCCAGCCGGTGGTGCAGGGTCCCATCACTCTCGTCCTCAGCAGCGTGAAGGCGGCCCCGACCCACGTGGAGCGGATGATAACGCTGCAGTATCGCGATCAGAGCCTGAAGCGCACTGTCATCCATCTGCAGTTCACCTCCTGGCCAGAGCTGTATGGCAAAGGGCTTCGGGGGGCCCGGGGGAGGGGCATGGAAGGGACGGGGGTCCCGCTTTGTAGCAGGGAGGGAGGGAGCTGCTGCAGCCTCCAACTGCTCCTTCCCATCGGAGGAGCTCCAGCGTGGGGAGACTGTGTGGGGCAGCCCTGACCGGAGAGCGGGTGGGGGGTGTTGAGTTGGGGTCCCCACCGCGCACTGAGCGTCCCTTCCCCGCAGGGGTCTGCCCGACAGCAAGGCGAGCCTGCTGCGCTTCATCCAGGACGTGCACGGCCACTACCTGCACCAGCGCCCGCTGCACACCCCCATCGTCGTGCACTGCAGGTGAGCGGCGCTGCGGGCTCGGCCCGACTCGGGGGTGCTGGGTGGGAGCTTCGGGCGGGGGGATCCATTTGGTGCCGTCCCGGTTTTGTGCCCTCCGACCGCAGCTTCGTATCCCCGCAGCTCCGGCGTGGGCCGCACCGGCGCGTTCTGCCTGCTGTACGCTGCCGTGCAGGAGGTGGAGGCGGGGAACGGCATCCCTGAGCTGGCGCAGCTGGTGAGACGCATGCGGCAGCAGCGCAAACACATGCTGCAGGAAAAGGTACCGGGCGGCTGGGCTGGGGGCGGGGGGTAAGGGGGGCGTATCCCGGTACTGTGCTCACTGTGCTCCCACCTTCCTCTTGCAGCTGCACCTGAAGTTCTGCTACGAGGCCGTCCTGCAGCACGCCGAGCAGCTGCTGCACCGCCACGGGGTGGGCGCCCCAGTCATCCCCAAAGCCAACAGCGCGTCCCCAAAGGTGGGTGTGGGGGCTTTAGGAGGGGGGCGGTGCGGGTGGCACAGCGCCGAGGCTGACGGAGCCTCTCCCGCAGCTCTACTTCCAGCAGGACCCGCAGGATCTGGTGCTGGGCGGCGATGTGCCCATCAGCTCCATCCAGGCCACCATCGCCAAGCTGAGCATCAAAGCTCCAGGCGGGGGGGAGGGAGGGGTGGGCTGGGGGCCGGAGGTCGCCCCTGTGCCCAACGCTGCCGCCGTGGAGGCTGTGCCACTGCTGCCTGACGCTGTGACGGACGGAGGGACGGGGACGGACGGAGTGACGGCTGCGGATGGTGTCTGTGCACCCAACCCTGAGCCGGTGCCAGAGCCGCCGGGTGTCGCCGAGAGCAGCAACCACGTGGAGGAGGTCCCACCGCCAACCCCCGCTGCCCCCCCGGCGCCCACCTCCTCACTGGAGCTCCTCGCCTCGCTCACACCCGAGGCTTTCACGTTGGACGCGTCGCTGAAGGGCAAACAGCGCATGAACAAACAGAACTTCCTGCAGGCGCAGACGGGCGAAGGGCTGCGGGCACCCCGGCCCAGCGATGACCCGCTCAGCATGCTCGACCCCCTCTGGACACTCAACAAGAGCTGAGGGGTGGCTCAGCCCACCCCCCCAGCAGCACTACAGCCCCCAGCTCTGTGGGGCACGGTGGGGCACGGCCTCCCCCCACCCTCTGCTTTGTGCAGCGTCACACGGGCGCTCAGCGCGGCCTTTCACTCTGAGCAGAACTGACTTTTTCAGCTCTTTGCTACTAAAATAAAAGAGAGTTTGATCTGGCACTGAAGCGCTTCTCCCACTTGGGCTTTGGCCACAGCCGTGGGGCTGAGTGAGGGGACGATGGGTCGGCACTGCAGCAGCCACACTCGGGTTAGTTCTGTTTAATGGAGGTTCTTTGTACACATATAAAACACGATCCGGTACAAAAATGCTCCCACTGTACAGCACAAAGCGTACAGCAGCGCTAAGGCCACCCAAGGTGCGGGGCGGGCGCTGGGGCCGGGGCTGTCCTCCTCCTCCTCCTCCTCCTCCAACTCCTCCTCCTCCTCCTCCCCCCCTGCAGCTGCTCCCGGGCTGCAGCGCTGCCCCTACAATCAGTGGGGTTTGAGGAACAGACATCAGCGTCGTTTACTTGAGCAAAAAGAGCATCAGAAACTGCTAGGGAATGGCCCCACACCCCTTGGAGCAGAATGTGCGCCCTGGGCCCCTCTCCCCCAGCCCCATGAGGAGGAGGAGGAGGAGGAAGGTGCTACTGCTGCAGATGGGGCCTGGGGCAGCTCCCGCACACTCCTGCCAGAATAAATAAATATATACAGCATATAAATAAATAGGGCAGGAACTGCTGCAGCACAGAGCCCACACACAGCAGGGCTGCCCGGGCCCTGCCTGCACGCTAAGGCACGTGGAGCCACTCTGAGCACGGAGCCGTCCTGCCTACAGCCACAGAGCTGCGCTGTGAGCACGTGGCCTCCCGCCCCATGGAGCACTGCAGGCAACGGGGCCCTGGCCGTGCTGCAGCAAGGCAGGCACCTGAGCTCCCCAGCTCCACGCTCCCACACCCACTGCCTTCATTCGGTTTCCCCCACACCTGCCCGGCTCAGGGAACCACCTCAACACCCCCCAGCTGCATCTCCTCCTGCAGCCACCAGCCCTGCAGCTCCTGTCCCATGTAGCTCCTGGAGCAGAGCACGGTGCCCCCAGCACGCTGCCCCAGCAGCACACGCACCAACCTCTGACCATCCCATGCAGCCCAGAAGCAGCGCAGGAAACACAGAGAGGCCAGAGGGCTCGGTGCCTGCACCTGGCAGCCAACACGGAGCAGTTCACACGGAGCAGAGGCAGCAGAGCCCTGCAGAGCTGCAGATCCAGGTCCGTCCCATCGCCGCATCCACCCAGCGCTCACTGCCCGGCCTGCAGCACCCGTCCCTCCTCAGTCCAGTTTCTCCAGCACTGAGGGCACGTAGACCAAGCTGAGCTCGCTGCCGAAGTTGCAGACGATGGCGGCGTTCTCCAGCACGAGGATCTGCCGCGCGGGCTGCGACTCATTGCTCTTCCCCAGGTAGACGGTCTGCAGCAGATCGCCGTAGCCGATGTCCCAGAAGGAGACGCAGCCCTGCCCGCCCGTCACCAGCAGGTTGTCGGAGATGACGCCCAGGCTGGAGCCGCAGCCCATCTCCTGCATGGAATTGAAGCAGAAGAGGCTCAGCCCCAGCACTGTGCCAGGAGCAGGGCTGGAGTTGAATCATATCATAGAATCACAGAATGGCCTGGGTTGAAAAGAACCACAGTGCTCATCCAGTTCCAAGCACCTGCTGTGTGCAGGTCGCCAACCAGCAGACCAGGCTGCCCAGAGCCACATCCAGCCTGGCCTTGGATGCCTGCAGGGATGGGGCATCCACAGCCTCCTTGGGCAACCTGTTCCAGTGCCTCACCACCCTCTGGGTGAAAAGCTTCCTCCTCATATCCAACCTAAACCTCCCCTGTCTGTTTAAAACCATTCCCCCTTGTCCTATCACTATCCAGCCTTGTATACCAGCTGTTCCCCCTCAGCCCACACATCCCTCCTTCCCCCCATTGCCACCAACCTGCTGGATGGAGTAGAGTTTGATCCCCGAGCTGCGGTCCCAGATGCTGATCACGTCATCCAGGCCGCTGCTGATGACGCAGGACGTGGTGCAGGTGAGGGAGGTGACGTCCCCGCGGTGCGCATACATGTGGCTCACCTTGCTGCCCGTCAGCACATCCCACAGGCAGATGGCCCCATCCTGCCCTCCACTCGCCAGCACCATCGTCTGTGAGGGGCAGAGCCGAGTCAGGAACTGCAGAGCACAGCAGCGGAGCCACCCGGACCACCCAGGACTGCTTGCTCTCATTCCTCTGCCCGTGGGACAGAATGCAAACCCACACCAGGGATCGCTCCCTCTGCTAACTCAGAGGAGCACACGCCAACTTCTCCACACGCAGCGCGGTCCCTCTGGCTCAGCAGCCATCAGAAAGGATGCTCTCCTGGTTCCCACCCCAGCTGAGCTCACCTGATCTATGTACACAGCAGTGATCGCTCCTGAGTGGCCCTGCAGCGTGAACAGGCAGCAGGAATCCTCCAGGCGGAACACCTGTGGGGCACGAGGAGCAGAGGTGAGTGGCCGTGGGGCAGAGGGAAGGATCAGGGGAGAACAGGGACACCCCACAACCCAGACACTGTCCCAGAAATCACCCAGCCCAAAGGCAGGAGGGTCTTCCACATCAGAAGGCTGTGATGCTGCCACACAGTGGGACCTGCACAGCTTGAGAGCTGGGCACCAAGGAACCTGGTGAGCTGCTGGGGAGGAGCTCTGCAGAGAAGGACCTGGGGGTCCTGGTGGACTAACAGTTGACCAATGGTTGACCACAAGCCAGCAGTGTGCCCTGCTAGCCAAGAAGGCCCCCAGCACCCTGCGATGCACCGCACAGAGCACAGCCAGCAGGGCATGGAGCTGCTCCTCCCCTCTGCTCTGCCCGGGGGGGCACAGCAGGAGCGCTGCGCACAGTGCGGGGCTGCCCGGCTCCAGGCAGATGGAACTGCTGGAGAGAGCCCAGCTGTGGGGTGGGGGGGCCTGGAGCACCTCCTGATGGGGCAGGCTGAGAGCCCTGGGATGTGAGCCTGGTGGAGAGAAGGCTGAGGGGATCTGAGCAGTGCTGATGGGATCTGAGCAGTGCTGAGGGGATCTGAGCAGTGCTGACGGAGATCTGAAGGGAAGGGCTGTGCTCTGTTTGGTGCTGCCCACTACCAGGACATGGGGCAGCAGGCACAGACTGGAACACAGAAAGTTCCAACTGAACCTGAGGAACAACTTTCCCATAAGTGGGGCAGAGCCTTGGAACAGAGCCCAAAGATGTAGGGAATCTCCTTCTCTGAAGATATTCAAACCTACCTGGATGCTTTTTTGTACAACTTACTGCAGGGAACCTGCTCTGGGGGGGGTTGGAATGGGGGATCTCCAGACGTCCCTTCCAAGTCCTACAGTTCTGTGACTCCGTGATCTCATGCTCTGTTCACTAAGTTACCTTACACAGAGCTTTGCCACTCTACCACCAAGGAGCCCCAACCATGCAGATGAGCACAACTTCAGGAATGCACTGCACTGCACTGCACTCCACCAACCACACCACCCCAGGCACGCACTGCCTTCCTGCACACACACACGTGCCAGCATTGCCCCCACTGTGCACAAGAGGAGCTCACCCACACCCAGAGGCTGCTCACCCTCAGAGTGTGGTCCTGGCTGCCTGTGACCAGCCGTCCTGCTGCAGCCTTCAGCGCTGTGATGGGTTTCTGGTGGGCGCAGGACACGGTGTGGGTGAGCTGGCACACGATGACATCGCTGCTGCTGAACACTGGGGAGGATGGGATGCTGCTTCTGCTCGGAGCTCCTGCAGTGAGAAAGCACAGTAAGTCCTCACTGCAGCTCAGATGTGGTTGATTTCACCCAGAGGGGCACAGTGAGGATGCCTGAGGCTGAACTCAAAGAGAGTGTGAGCCTGGGCACCAAAGAGCTGAGCAAATCAGCAGTCCCTACACAATCAAGACTGAGAAGGGTGAAATTGAAGAGCACTGTTGCTGTCCTTGTAAAAGAGAACACACAGCTGCGTGTCCTGCAGGGAAACAGCATTTCCATGGCCAGGCCTTTCCCAGAGCCTGCTCTTCTTTCACACAGCATGCAGACCCCAGGGAGTGAAACCATCCCCCTGCAATGGCTTCTCTCCATTCCAAGCCACCCCAGAAGCAAACAAACCAGCACAGTGCAGAACAGATACCACCACTGGTACTTCAATTCCCGTGTGTCACAGCAGTGCCATGTGGGGTGCCAGTGCCTGGAGCAGACCTTGCTGAAGGAGTAACTGAGAGGTGGGAGAGGAAAGAGGCGCAGGGCAGAGCTGACCCTAAAGCACATCTCCCACTCTTCAGACTCAGGCACTGGAGAACAGTACCCAAAGGGAGCCTACAAACAGGAGGGGAGTCAGCTCTTGGGAAGGGGAGATAACAGCAGGACAAGGGGAAATGGTTTGAATTGAGGGAGTGCAGATTTCAGTTGGATGTGAGGGGAAAATTGTTTGCTGTGAGAGTGGTGAGGTGCTGGAACAGCTGCCCAGAGAGGCTGTGGATGCCCCGTCCATCCTGGAGGTGTTGAAGGCCAGGTTGGATGGGGCCCTGGGCAGCCTGGGCTGCTGTGAAATGTGGAGGTTGGTGGCCCTGCATTGGTGGGGGGTTGGAGCTTCGTGATCCTTGAGGTCCCTTCCAAGCCAAGCCATTCTGTGATTCTGTGAAAAGCAGTGCTCAGAATGCTTTCCCTCCTCAAAGAATTCCCAAAGAATGCCTCCCTCTGCACAGCATCAGATGTGGCATCCTGCAGCGTTTTTGGAATGAAGCATTATTACAAAGGCTCAGGAAGGGGGTGTGAGATGATGCCTGCTCACCTCGGAACTGCAGGTGGTTCAAGGATGTGTGTGTTTCCAGCGAGAAGAAATCCAAGGAGCCATTCAGCCGAGCAGCAACGATCCTGGGGGAGAAATGAGCTCCATGAGCAGAGGGCTCCCTGCTCCCTGGGGTTGAGAGCCCCGAGGTGACCCTCCCCAGGCAGAGCACAAGCTGAGCCAGCTCCTCGTGCTTGGAAACCCCATCAACCAGCAGACAGAAATGCTTCTTGAATAACAGCAACCAGGTCTGAGCAGAAAGTGTCACCCAAAGACACAGCTGTCAGAATTACTCTGGATACTCCATTACTAGAAAGCTTGAGTATGAAGG